GGCATGTGGGATCCTCCCGGACCGGGGCACGTACCCGTGTCCCCTGCATCGGCAGGCGGACCCTCAACCACTGCGCCACCAGGGAAGCCCTAGGGCCTTTGTTTTAAACTTCTCTGTATTTATTACCATCCACATAGCATGTACTTGATGTTCCTTTGCTAAGTGATGGAAACATTCACCCTTACGCCGTGTAAGGGACAAGGAGATTCCAGCTTGAATGGAGAGGACAAGAAGTTATAAGGAAAGATTCTCTGAAGTTAGAATTTGGAATCTTTAGGAAACTGAACATTCTCCAGCACTTAAACTTGAGATTAAGAAAACAACTTCAAATTTGGGGAGAAATTTTATATTCTCCCCAAAGGGAGAATATTTGTCTGATATTATACAGAGAGAAATTCCATGGCCAAGAACATGAAAAAGATAAGAATGGCAATTACCTGGCTGCTCCAGAGAATTTAACCTATATTAAAAGATAACTAGAACCTTGAATTTTAAAGGGAAGAATTCAGGTTGATTTATCTGCCAGATTGACTTGTACTCAAAAGGATAAACAGAAGGTACTTTTCAATTCAATCCACTGAAATGCCAAAGCATCATGAACTCTTACAGTCAACTGATTTTGAGACAGGTTTTCTTTGTTTGATTCATCTTGAGCCTCGACATATCTTTTAGGGAGGAGATTTAACTATGAACCTTCTCCTTTCTCTTCTGTTCCCCTTTGCATTTGGCTAAAGTCAACAGACTCCTTTCGAGTAATGCCTCTACCATATCAATAGAACATTGCTCTCGTTACTAAGAATCCCCTCCAAAATCACAAGCCTCTGGGGAGAACTGAGGCTTTAGCTTAGTGAAAATTCCTTTGTTCCCCTCAACCTGGGAGAAGGTTTGTCTCCACTTCCTGTCTGTTGGCTCATAAAAGGATGAAGAGAGAAGTCTGTAAATTTAGTGAAATGTTAAATAGCAAGTATTCATTAACTCCAACACAAGCATACTTTTTGAAATTTTTCTTAACATAAATTAGAGGTACATGCATGTATGTAAAGAGAAAGAAAAATACCATATGATATCACTTATATGTGGGATCTAAAACATGACACAAATGAACATATCTATGAAACAGATACAGACTCAAAGACATACAGAACAGACTTGTGGTTGCCAAGGGGGAGGGGGGTGGCAGAGGGATGGATTGGGAGTTTGGAGTTAGCGGATGCAAACTATTATAAACTATTATATACAGAATGGATAAACAAGTAAGTCCTACTGTATATCACATGGAACTACATTCACTATATACTATCCTGTGATATAGCATAATGAAAAAGAATACATATATGTGTAACTGAGTCACTTTGCGGTACAGCAGAAATTAACACAACATTGTCAATCAACTATACTTCAATAGAATTCTAAAAAAATAACAATAAAAAAAACTGAAGGAAACACACCAAAACTTAACAGTTGTTATAGATAGATAATATAAAATTTTCTCTGTATGCTTTTCAATATATGGCAAATTTTCTACAGGGAAGATATATTATTTTGATAAACAGAAAAAATTAGCATTATAAAAAAAGAAATGGTAATCAGTAGCCACTCTCCTTTCCTCTATCAACATGCCAAAGGACCAGAAGCTTGAGAGACCTAAAGACCCATATCCCTGTGGGTGATACTGAGATGTGAGTTTGTGCAGGCCAGGTAACCCCTCTGGGACTCAGGTTCCTCACCTGTGAAATGCAGGAGTTTGAGTGCCATGGTCTCAGTTCTACAATGCCTGAATTCTATGATGGGCCTGCCACATCATAGACTATATTAACTGAAAATGCTTCTGGTTTCTAGTAACAAACATCTCGACTAATAGTGGCTTAAATCATAAGAACGCTCCTTGTTGAGTAAACAGAATGTTTGAAGGTAGGTAGTCTAGGACTGGATCAGGAGCTCAGTGAGGATGTCTAGGAGCCAGGCTCTTTTAAATTTTTTCTGCATCATCCTCTTCAACTGTTGGCATTCATCTGAGAGACTGTTGCCTCATGGTTACAGGATAGCTATCACATCTCCAAGTAGGAACAGAGAAGCAGAGGCAAAAGTTTCTCTTTGCATCCAGTAAGGTCCCCACATCTCATTTATCAGAACTGAGTCAAAGGACTAACCTAGATTAATCAGTGGCAAAGGGAAAGATTCTACCCTTGTTTTAGATGGATTATCATTCATCCTACACATCTGAGAGTGAAGAATAGTTGCGCACTGATCTGAACAGGTCAGAGTTCCAACAGCAGGGAAGAAAGAAGGGAGAGGATGATCACTGGGTAGAAAACAAATGTGACTGCCAGAAGCACTTAATAAAGATGTATTGAACAAATGAGTGAGGGCCATGTTATGATTTGCAAGGATCCTAAAAACTTTTGTCTTTCTAGGTACTTTCCTCGATAAAAATGTTTAAAATTATATTTTACAACTGAGTTGGTATAAAGAAAAATGTAGTCCAGGCTGTATTCATTATTATATACACTATTATTATGTTTATTTTTTATTCTGATTTTAAAAATTAAAATGGAGACATTTTCATGAACCCTAGATACTGGGTCATGGCTAAGTCCATCCTGGGTCTGTGCTGTCTGTCCAACTGGATGGTAAACACTTGAGGGTGGAGACTGTGTGCTAGGTTTTGTTGATGCCCTCAAAGCCTCTATCACATCACTATACGTCTAAGAGCTGCTCAACAAATACTATGGAGTTGACCTAACATATCACTGTTTCTTCCTCTAGGGTGAACCTGGTCCCCCTGGTCCTCCAGAAGCCCCTGGTATTGGACAGCCAGGTATTAAGGTAAAGATACTGGTCTCTCGGCCCATTGATGACTACTGAATTTATTGTAGGGCTGGGGGAGCTGTGACTTGAACTCTGCTCAGTGTTACCCTCATAGATACAAGGAAGCTGTCTGTATGAGTTACTTACAGGCTGGATGCTTGGGCACTGCAATGCCCTGGTCAGGGGCAGTTACCACAAGAATACTCTATGTATTTTTTGATTTGGTTGGAATGAAAATTTTGCTTGTCTCCAAATACCCACCCTCTTGCCAACATACATCTAGTTCTGTTGAGTTTTCATGGATTTTAAATGTTGGCATGCAAAAATGTTACTGGGAAGTGAAACACCTTAACATGTCAACTATCACCTGCTCACATCAAATAAGCACAGAGGGGCAGAAACCAGAAGAACCATGACACTGAATAAGTAAATGTTGACGGAGAGGTTTGTAGGGAACTAGAAAGGACTAGAACACCCAAAAACCTTGGGTGCTTTACATCATACAGGATGTACTAGAGCAGAAGTGCTTATTTTAAATGGCTGTTCTATGTCATTGGGACAATAAGACTTCGACGCGGGGCTAAACCAGAGAGCAGTACAAAACAGTGCACTTCGAATGTAATCAGGTGCCACCATGGAATGCATTTAGACAATAATCACACTGAGATTCCAAGGAAGGTGGAGTTTATACTGGCAGAGTTACTGGAGAAGGGTTCTGAAGGAGAAGAAATGGGAAACAGAACTGAAAGGCGAGGTGAAATGGAACAGGGCAGGGTGGCGGGGGACGTATCCCCGGATGGTGGCGAGGGGTCAGAGAACAGCACGGGCATTGTTAACTTAGTCATTTCAGTAACCAAAAAGAGTCGTACATGGTCTGACCTGTCAATTGCTATGTAATCGTTTCTGAAAGCTGAAATTGCATTTAGACAAGAAGGAATGAGGAACGTTTGGGGGTAATTTGTTCACTTAAATTCAAGGCATTTTTCCTCCTCTAGATTTTTTTTTTTGAATCTTTAAGAGTTTGAAAAGTTTGACAATTTTGCTATTTATCTTTGTTGAAATCTCCAGAGTATTTTGTGCTATGTGTATTCTTCATTTAAAAAAGCAAACTTTCATTCAATTATTTCTTCCTCCTAGGGGAAAGAGGCCAGGAAGGAAGAACTGGGCCTCCAGGACCGATTGGTGTTGGTGAGCTGGGCCAGACAGTGAGTAGCAAGAAATTCTAGGTGGAATTAAAAGGACAAATATAGTCCTTATGTGCTCTTTTGGGTTAGAATAAATGGTTAAACTAAGCCATCTTTATCTTTTTAAACAACAAAAGATGATAAATATATAAAGACCAGATCCAAGTGTTATTTTTCATAACACTTGAAATCTATTTATATCTATAGGATATGTACAACAGGCTCTCTCTTACTGTAGTCTTTTGTGAGATTAATCAGTTTGTCCTAGAGGGAAGGAGTTCTCATATGTCAAAATTATGTAGGAGATAGGAGATCTAGATTCATACCTAATGTCTATACTTTGTAATTGACTTTCCTATAACCATGAGAAAATCACTGAGAATAAGGACCTTGCTCATTACCTAACCTGTGAGTATACTCTAAAGCTAGAATTGATCATGGTAGACAGGTAATACCTGTGTTATTTGCAGCTTCTACCTTATGTAGCTTTGATATTTACTATTGTTGGAAAAGAAAAAAAAATTCTGTCTAAAGAGAGCTGGAGAGGAAATGAATAAAACATGACTGTTCTGGAATAAGAAGCTTTTTAACTTTTCAAGTAATCATTATTCTCCCAGGAAAGAACAGTAGCTGACTTGCTGGGGTACAAATAAAAACAACCGATTGTGAATAGTTGGTCACCCAACTGGGCTTTGCACTGCATAGTTCCTCACATATAATATTAACAGAAACATGTGCTTCCTTGCTGTACTCTGAGAATGAAATGGTACCATACTATCTGAGGGCTAGTCTTTTCACCAACGTCTTGATACACTAATTCAAAAAAGAGAACATCATATCAAGGAAAAACACACTGGTCTAATTATCTACTGTGTTTCCACTAACTAGATAGGTCTCTTAAAACTAAACCACTGATTGAGAGTCCGCCTGCCGATGCAGGGGACACAGGTTCGTGCCCCGGTCCGGGAGGATCCCACATGCCGCGGAGCGGTTGGGCCCATGAGCCATGGCCGCTGAGCCTGAGCGTCCGGAGCCTATGCTCCGCAACGGGAGAGGCCACAACAGTGAGAGGCCCGTGTACCGCAAAAAAAGAAAAAACAACAAAAAAAAACTAAACCACTGAGAAAGAAGATTATGAGCTCCCTGCAGACACTGCTGGTTCTACACTGGAGAGGCTGGAAACCTAGAAAACCGAAATGACATCAGCTAGAAATATACAGGCCCAGATAGGCTGCCATGTATAGAGGGAGTACAGCAGAGAATTTGGGAAGTTTCAGACAGAAATGAAAACATCTTTTCACAATGTTCTGAATAAGTGGGAATAAAAGTGAGCTTCATGTTTCACTGCAAAGCCTTTATGAACTGTCCAAAAGAACCCGAGATTTTTGAAGCAAGCATAAGATCTCTTCTTTTTCTTCCACATGCCTACTTTTAACTTAATAAACAGCTCTGCCTTGCTGCTGGATCCTAGGAGAGACTGCATGGCTAATCATGGGACAATACACGACCATACGTGTCAAATTTTTTTTTTTTTTGGCTGCGTTAGGTCTTCGTTGCTGCATGCTGGCTTTCTGTAGTTGTGGTGAGCGGGGGCTACTCTTCGTTGTGGTACGCAGGCTTCTCATTGCAGTGGCTTCTCTTGTTGTGAAGCATGGGCTCTAGGCACGTGGGCTTCAGTAGTTGCAGCACGCGGGCTCAGTAGTTGTGGCACACGGGCCCTAGAGCTCGCGGGCTTCAGTAGTTGTGGCATATGGGCTTAGTTGCTCCGCGGCATGTGGGATCTTCTGGGACCAAGGATCAAATCCGTGTCCCCTGCACTGACAGGCGGATTCTTAACCACTGCGCCACCAGGGAAGTCCATGTTGAATTATTCATCATGAACTGGGTGTTATACAAGCCATCTAGGCTATGTGTCGTACAAGTTCATCATTATTCTTGAAGATACAAATAGTTTCATGAGTAATTGGCTTAGACTCCTATGGCATCTACTCCATTGCTACTTTTCCCACAAGCCACACCTATAGCCCCATATGAACAGACAAAGGAAGAACAAAACTGAGCATGTTTTGCTGGCCTAGCTGGAAATAGACTCCTGTTCTCTTCATGAACACAGAGTATGAAGATATTTGTGTCCTAGGTGAATGCTCACCAAACCACATCCATTTTAAAGAAGGCTCTAAATAAACAAGTAGACAGGATGTCAATCAATCAATTTTCCCAGCTCTACTACCATCCACTCAGTTTTTTCTTTTTTTTTTGCGGTACGCGGGCCTCTCACTGTCGGGGCCTCTCCCGCTGTGGAGCACAGGTTCCAGATGCGCAGGCTCAGTGGCCACGGCTCATGGGCCCAGCCGCTCTGCGGCATGTGGGATCCTACTGGACCGGGACACGAACCCGCGTCCCCTGCATTGGCAGGCAGACTCTCAACCACTGCACCACCAGGGAAGCCCCAACCACTCAGTTTTAATGAGTGGCTGGGATGGAGGTTATACACAGGATCAACATAAACTTCCTTTTAACAAACCTAATATGGATACTGCCACTGCTGAGTGACCAACCTGCAAAAGGTACATGCAAGCCTGATGTCATCCTTCTCTGGAAAGGGCCAGTCACGCTGGTAGTATCAATATGTTGACTAGCTGGAACTCTTTCATAATGGAGAGAGGGTCATGATGATGGCCATAATTGGTGGGGAGGGGGTCAGGCAATTAATCAAGTAAGGATTTGCCATTACTGCCCACCACTGAAGGACTTACTGAATGTCTCCATAGATCTACTATGATGCATAAAAATATGGATATATTTGTGTGCTTCAAATTCATGGGTTTCATGAATCTGAGAATTCAACAATTTTGAAAGTTCTTAGTTGTTATCTCTTCAGATATTTTATTTTTCCATTCTCCATTTATTCAGAAATTCTGTTAGATGTTTAGCTGCATTTTAAGGTGATTTCCTCAAATCTAACTCATAATTCACAAATTTATCTTTTTCTGGTTATAAAATGTCCTGAAATCATACCTTGTATTTTTAACTTAATGAGTATTTTTTGAAATTCTTAAAGCTAATTTTAAAAATCTGCCTTGTTTTTTTTTTTTACTAATATGTTTTTGCTATACTGTCCTCTTTGCTTCTTATATTTCTATTCTTTTCTTAAGACCATTAAAAAGTATACTTCCTTTTTTGGTCTCTATTATTTTATCCTATTATTTGGCAACCTTGGGGACATTTACATTATATTGGCTCACTTTTACTCACTGAGAATTATTTTCTTCTATGTTTTGTACTCTCGCATCTGAACTCATTGTCAGCCAGGTTTAATTGTGAAAACCCAAGTGTTCTGTGTGGAGCATGTTTGACAGAAGTGTGCATTTGCATCTCTTATGTACTCCAGGCACATCCTTGATGCTATTGTCTTGATTAAGGTGTCCCCAGACCACCAACATGGTGTCACTTGAAACTACAAACCCATACATAGCACAGGACCAGGTTAGGAGTTTTCGGGCCCATTTAGAGCCCAAGTGAAGGTAGACAAGATTCTTGTCATGCATAACACTGTGTTTATGGGATGGCTTTTTTCTACCCTGCCCTTTCATTGAAGATATATAACTTTGAAGGTCCTAGCTTTATGGGGGGGGCGGATCTTAGTTCTAATTTTCTCCTTGTTTTCCATCGAGTGAGCCAAAGTCTGCTCCTGGTTCTCCCTCTTAGACTACAAAACTTTGTCCTACCATACAACCACAATTTTTTTATTTTTTGCGGTGCGTGGGCCTCTCACTGTTGTGGCCTCTTCCGTTCCGGAGCACAGGCTCCGGACGCGCAGGCCCAGCGGCCATGGCTCACGGGCCCAGCCGCTCCGCGGCATGTGGGATCCTCCTGGACTGGGACACGAACCCGCGACCCCTGCATCAGCAGGCAGACTCTCAACCACTGCGCCACCAGGGAAGCCCCAACCACACTTTTTACTCAAAACAGTTACAGTGTCAGCTTACATGCTTACCTCTAGTGTTCAGTGCTCTTTTTGTTTTGGAACCCTGTGATTTCCCTTATTTATTGATTTTTGGGGCCTTCATTTTAAAGAAAAATGTGTATTACTTGCCTTTCTGTTTGTAGCTAGAGAGTTTTCATGATATTGCCAGAACATGAAATTCTTGTTCGTTTTCTTACTATCCAATAACAATTATACAAATTAGAGTGACACTGTGAAGTCTTTGATTTAATTGGGAACTAAAATCATTACAAAGATGGGAAGGATCTCAAGTAATACATGAAAATATTCTCCCAAAATGTCATAATAAAAAATCAACAATGAGAGCTTTTTAATTATTTCAAAGTAACATAAATACTTTAGGACTGACAAAGTTTCTGCTGAAAGAACCGTTGTTTCTTTGCTTGAATCATTTCAAGTGGTTTCAGGTTTAGCACTAACTACTCTTTTTATGTAACAGTGATAAATAAATCTGACCGACTGAATTAATATTCCAGCTCCATGACCTAACTTTGAACTGTCAGCTACCTTCTTTAATTATATGATTACCACTAGTTTTGAGTTGGTCTGACAGATGACTGATTCATGAATAATAAATTGATTCAGGTTCTCAGGGTGATCTGTTTGTTTTTTGTGCAAGGATACTCAGAGCACTATCTGTGAAAAATATCCCCTGAAACAAAACTATAATTATTTTGAAGTTAAAAGTAAAGTAGATTTCACTGTTTTAATATTAAGGATAGTTTATATTATTATTGAGCATATTTATATGTAGCATATGCTTGCAACGTATATTGAAAGCACTTTTATTGATTACCCACACTATTGAGATTATTAAGGAAGATAATCAGATAATGGACAGTCATATTTTATCTTATTAATGTCTCATATAAAGCATTTCTGATCAGACTCTGTTAGCTGATAATTAGTTCCTCCCACTAGATATTTTTAAATTAGAAGTGTTCATTAGAAGCCAAATAAGAATGTCATGGCTATAATTAGTTCTCATGGCCTTTGAAAAGGACAATATTTTTTACAGAGCATTTTTGTCTTTTAAAAAATAATCTGAAAAAAAAAATCTGTTGGTACTGTCTTAATAAATTAACAGTATAGTTCATCTAACCCAAGTACTTTCTCTTTCTCTTCTCTGGTTGGCAGTCATCTTTCATCTTGACTGTTTAACTGGAAAACTTGAGAATATACTGATGGTGTAGAATATTACTCTGACAGTTTCCAGTAATTACACTCTTATTTTTAATGCCCCTAAGTGATTGTTCACAAGCATTAACTCTGTTCTCAGCAGCCTGGAACACATGACTCCTAAAAGGCTTCATTATTTTCATTTTCACCTTGGCTAATGTATTCTAGAAATGCAGAGACGAAGGAAGGGTCTGTGCTTACTCTGTGCAGCATGCCTCTCTCCATGTTGCTTAACATAAAGCCGTTCACTCTGAGACTACCTAATTTGTAAAAACTTTATTAAAGGACATTCTGAGCAATTGCAGGATTCAAAACTCAATAATTTTGTTAGTGATATAGCAGATATTTATTGAGTGCTTAATATGCAAGAGCTTTAAATTTCTCTGAGCTAATCTTTGTATTAATACAAAGATTAATATTAATCTGTGGTTAGGTAGGTACTTAATTGTGGTTGAGGTAGGTACTATTGTTACCACCATTCTGATGACAATGCAGAACTTTAGAGAGATTGAATTATTTGCTTAAGATCACATTGCTAATATGTAGCAGAGCGGGGTCTTGAACCTCAGTGCAAATGACACCCAAATCTGCTTTTAGTTATCATGCAAGACTGTAAACTTTATGAGACAGGGAGCAGGGCTGCCTACTGTTTTCAGACCCTAGCACAGTGACTCACACCTACCAGGCTTTTGGTAAACATTTGTTGAACGAATGGGAAAAAAAATTGAATGAACTGGAAAAAGATTCCTCTGCATTCAATGTAAATTGAGTTATTTTCATTTGTCATATCGCTGGGGAAGAAGAATAATTTGTTAATATTTTTGGTATCCTGTGTGATATTAGCTAGGCCTTGTCTGTTTAGTTTGCAATCTAGTTTTCACGTTTATGTTTACTTTCCCCCTCATTAATTGCTCTACCATGAGTAAGCTGTCACGGATATTAGAGCTTTGATTAAGGTCTTGGATGGTTAAAAGCTAGTTTTCCCACAAGCATAGCAATTTAAATTGAATTAAATGCTAGCTTTTACATTCAGTTAAAATCTTTACTAAATTGGCTATGCACAAATACTAAAGGAGACTCTTTTAAATATACAGTATTAGGGAAAGGCAAAAAAAATTAAATATGGGATACAGTTAGCTTTCTCTCTCACAAATCTGTAGCTGTGATCAGTCACTGATGAGCATAATGCTGTATCCTAGCTCTGCTACCAGGCTTGAGTAGAAAGTAACTCTTAAATTACCCTGGATTACTATATACTGAGTCCCAAGATCACTCAGAGTGTCTGCAGCCGGCTGGCTTTGGGGCTCTGGGCAACTCAGTAGACCTTGTTCCATCAAAGATTTACTGCTCTGGCAAGAAAGCCCTAATTATCTTTCTAGGTGCATTAGAGGAAAAGCTCCAGTTCATGCTCCTACAATTCTTGTTGTTAGTCCCTTTTCTACTTTTTTTTTTTTTTTTTTTTTCCTTTTGGCCAAAAAAAAAAAGGGGAAAACTTTAGAGGGGAAAACTTTATAACCTTTTAAAATTCCAGGTTTAAGTGACTCTTTTGCTGTTATTTTTCAATGAGTATTTTTCCTGTCAGTCCATTTCAAAGCCTGGGACTGTGCTGTTTTTCTTTCCTTATGTGAGAAGTCCTCTCCTGTCTGAGTGCCTTTTTGAGGAACAGCCACATGGGCTTCTTACTTTTAAACACTGAGATGGAAAATCCTGTTCCTCCTTAATGATTCTATCACGATTCCTACTTGCACATAAACCTCCAGTGGATTCAACCAGCTCCTGAAAGAATTCAGGTTTGAATCTAAATTTATCAGGATGGAAATTAAAACAACATATGAACAGAATTCAGCGCTTTAAAACAGCTGTGTAGTGATTTCTTCACAGGGCTCCCCTGATAACCTAATTAAATGATTAATCACGTCACATCCTTCTCCAGGCCACACAGTCCTAGATTTTTAGCCTTTCCTCATAGGATTGATTTCCTCATCCTTATTCTGAAGCATCACTTAATTCCCATTTTCCTCCAATTGAGAGCACCGGACTAGAACATCTTATGCCAATCAAATGGAACAAGTATTTAATACAATGAGAATATTACTCTTCACAACTCTATGATTCTACTGATCAGTATGGAGTTTGCTAGAAGGATGCTCACTAATCACATGAACAGGACTATGCCCACGTGAACTGAAGTATGACCATTTTCTTTCTTCCTGTCTCCTCTCTTCCCTCTCCTCCCATTCTCTCTCTTTCTCTCTCTCTTTTCTCTTGTTCCTCACCCCCCTCGCATCCTAACCAGGGTCCCCGTGGGCCTGAGGGAGCACCAGGAGAGAGGGGCTTACCAGGAGGAGGACCTCCAGGACCAAAGGTAACAACAACACCTTATACACTGAGGGAAAATGCTTTGTATTTCATGGTCATGGATGACAAATTTTTTAAAATGTGTCCTAGCCAATCATCCCAGGTCAAGTATATTCTCCTGACCATCTTCACCCTATTAAACGAAGTAATATGTAAATCTCCCCTTAACGTAAAGCTATAGTGACATTTGCAAATATAAATAAGTAACTGAAAGGCTGCTTCTTCATATAATTACCGCATATGAAATTAGAGAAATCTCTTAAAGTAGTTTGTAGTCATTAAAGTCACAGTGATAAATAGCATCTTTATGCCCAGAAATTAAGTTATTGAACGTGGCTATACCAAGCTTTACCCACAGCTTTGTTTTGTGAAACGTACAGAAGAAACAGTGTAATATAACATAAGAAAGGAAATGTGGGTGGGTGGAGGGAATTGGAGTTACCATATTACCAGAAGGAGCAAAATGTTATGCAAGACCTACCTTTTACCTGGCAATTGAGAATTTAAATGTTTCCACTGCCTCCCATATGTAATTCTTGGAGCTCAGGTTCCTCTAGACCAGGGCTTGGCAAACTTTTTCTGTAAAGGACCAGACAGTAAATATTTTAGGCTTTGTGAGCCATACGATATCTGTTGCAACTACTTAACTTCTGCTGCTGCAGCATGAAAGCAGCCCTAAACAATGTATTAATAAATGAACTTGGCTGTGTTCCAATAAAGCTGTGTCTACAAAAAACGTGCAGTGGGCTGAATTTGGCCAATGGTCCGTACTTTGATGATCCCTGCTCTAGACTCTTTACCCATAATTTTTGGCTCATTTGCCAAAGGCCACCTAGGAAATGATTTTCCAAGACACTTTGGGCAGCATCAACAAAATTTCAGAGTAAGTAAGGATAAACTTTGGAGTCCTTTTTCCTTCTTTTCTAAAATCTTTCCCCCAGAGACACATGCATGCATACACACTACCCAGAGAAGCATGTGCTGCTTTCTAAGTGTCTAAGACCTTCCTCTTCAGTCATTCAGTCGAGTCACTGAGATCCAACCTTCTCAGTATGGCCTCACACTCTAAAATTGCTTCTCATTTTCAGCCTCTTCCACCACGATCAATATTCAGTTATCTATGAGAAACCTAAATCTCAACTAAAGGGAAATGAATTAGTTAAAACAAATAATTCACACGAAGTTGTAACTGCTGGATTGAATTTTAAAAGAAGCCCTTGTTAACTAACAAATTTTAATTTGTTATAGTAAATGGAAATAATATGTCAGATGAAGGGGACATTACTAATGCTCTTGACTAACCAAAGTATCCTCATGAGAAGGCAGAGGCCAGCAATTTGGCACTACATTTCAGAAAGTTTTATAATACATAATTTCTTGAATTTTTTTGGCGCATAGTAAATTTCTATTTATGTGTAGCCCAAACAACCTGAAAATTCAAATAGCCAGAATTATTTCTCCTTATAATCTGTGGGGTTTAAAAAATAAGAAATAAGTGAGAAAGGAATAAATGAGACACTACGAAGCATATTTCAGGGCATGTCTTAGTGACAGTTTCAACTGTATGAAATAATGATACACTCCTTCATCATAACACACTCTGACTCATCAAAGAAAGAACTCATTATATTCAGTGTTGTTTTAGGGTTGACTGGACACAAATATACTCTGTGGTAACAATCAGAAGAACCCATTAGTCAGAATACTTCACTCCCCAACCAGCAAGACCAAATCGGAGTTTCTGTATATTCTTCTTGGGGCTACTTTGCAATGACGTAGGGCTTAAGTGAAGAAATTATGAATATAGAGGGACATTAAGGTGTGTTTTCCTGTTTCCTAGGTTTCCTGAAAATGTTCTTTGATTTCACTCTCGGTTCATGAAATGTGTGCTATTTCTGATTGATTATATGGTTTGTTTTTCATACAAATGCACAGTGTTAATGACTTCGTTGATATTACATTACAACCAGAGCTATTCACATAGGTCATGTGACTCTAGAAGCATATCCAAGAAGATTTTCCACGAATTCTTCTAAAACTAAGTTTTCAATAAATGATTATAAATTCTGGCATAAAACATGTAATGAATAATTCAACCTTAGCAAATATTATTTCATATACTGAGAGATAAATTTTCATTGTGTAATGGATCCAGTTATAGAAATGTTGAGGAAATGGAAGACTGATTCTGTTAGTTATAATATGTGATCGATCAGATCTTCCATTTCCAGATATATCTGATTATATTAGGAATGGAGCACTTTTCCAACTTTAGTGATGCGGCATGCGTTATGCTTGGCTAGATTCTATTTATGAATGTTAATGCTAATTTTCTTTGGCAATTTACAAATCTTGGAGTTAGAATTACCCATTTATAGTTAGCAGTGAATTTAGATGCTTTGAATGCTTGAACTGTTTTAAAATCCTGAATTTTATTAGTGCGTTGATATCCCTCCCATATACTTTCAGGGTGAAAAAGGTTCTGAAGGACCAGTTGGCCCACAAGGATTAGAAGGCCCATCAATCGAAGGGGACAAGGTACTGCAAAAGGGTGTATAATAGAAAGGATGCCAATACAATTATTTTTTTCATTGTTCTTTATGTATGTACATTTATGAACTATGTACAACCTGATGATCATATACCACAGGTACCCAGTTAATTATGAAGGCCTTAAAGACCAGTGCAAAGGGAAAGCTGCCAGAAGGGGAAGAGATATAAGAAATGTGCAAAAAACAGAGACCTCAAATCAGTTTGGAGTCATTTATATGTCAATATCTAAGCATATCATTATATTATATATTATATTAAAATAACAATTGACATTGATGATTATCTTGGGTGTTGTATTTCTACTTGAATTACTTATTCCTTTTATTTACCATTTACTGGTAGCTGTCTCCTCTGGGCATCTGTATTTAAATAGTAGAGACAGTGGTAAATAGTGAATTCTACAAATTTTAGATGTCATACAATTCTTGGTTCAAATAGCTCAGCACTGGTGGTGTGACTCCACTTCCAAAGTACCTTAAAAATATGTAAGGTGCTCTTTCTTCCCTTGGAGTACTCAGTGCAAGAGAACTGTTGTGTTATGAGTTTAGTAAATTAACTTATCCAGGTGTTGTTGAAATGGCATTCGTGGTTTTACATCTGGAGCTCATGCAAAGAAAGCACATTAAATATCAGAACATTATCACATAGTAATTGCAAGACTTTCATCTGCTATTCCCTTACCAAATCAATACTGTCTTCCCTTTCCCTTCTCCTTTCTTCCTTTCCTATTCTTTTATATTCTGTGATTCAAGAGGCTAGATAAACACCTCTATAAGGACTCTCAAATACACACAATTGTTGCAGCACAAGGAAGTAGCTTTAATATAGATATTAAATGTAAGTAATAATACCCCAAAGAGGATCTCTCTTATTTTATTGAATATTTGCAGACGAGTGATATGAGTTGGGTTTGGAGTTAGGGGGAGTGAACATGAATCTTGCTTCTGCCATCGATCAGATGTGTGAATGGGAGTTACTTAACCTCATCTGGAAAATGGAGACGCTTACTTTCAGAGGGTTGTTGTGAGGATTAAATGAGATAAAGCATGAAAAGCATTTAGTGCACTCTCTGCCACATGATAAGCAATCAAGTTCTGAATCAGAATAGCCCAGCTTTGAAGTAGAACTTGAGTCCTTTACATGTTTCCATCCATGATATTTATTTAGACTAGGGATTGACACAAAGTGAAACACTGAGAAGCATATGCCAGGACGTGTCTTAATGACAGGTTCAGGTTTTTAATATTATATAAAGTAAGATCTAACGATGTGCTTTTGTTTATAAAAACATATTTATTTTAGCCCAGGCAGTGGCAAACTACAGGGCGGGCTGTCTGTTTTTGTAAATAAAGTGTTACTAGAACACGGGCACACCTGTTCATTTGGGTATTGTCTATGGCTGGTTTTGTACTACCAAAACAGCATGCATTTGTTATGAAAGAGACCTTATTATGACCCCAAAGCATACAATATTTACTATCCAACTGTTTAAGAAAAAGTTTGTAAACTCTGATGTAGTCTAAATACAACTGACATTAGAATAAAAGTATTTATTCGTGTTGCCTAATCCAGTGGTCAATTCTCAGTTGCCAACTTACTTGACCTATCAGTAGCGTCCTCTGCTAGGATCTTCACCTTCTTGAAACAATCTCTTCACCTGATCTCTCTGGCTGCACCTTATCAGTCTCTACTGCTGGTTGTTCTTCATCTCTCTGACCTCTAACACTTGGAGCCTCCAAAGGGCTCAGTCCTTGAACCATCTCTCTTCCCTATCTACTTGTAAACTCACCCAGTCATGGCTTTAAATACCATCTATATACTGAGGGTTCCCAAATTTATGTCTCCAGCTCAGGCCCCTCTTGCCTACTTGATACCTCCATTTGGATGTCTATTTTAGGCATCTCAGGCTTAACATATCCAAAACTAAGCTCCTGGTATACCCTCCCCCAACCTTGCTTCATCTCAGTCTTCTCCTTGTCAATAAATGACAAGTCTATTCTTCCACAAACCTCAAAGACATCCTAGGGTCCTCTCAATCTGTAACAAATCCTGTTGGCTCTATTTTCAAAATCTGTTTAGCATCTGAGCACTCCCCACCACCTTCACTCAACAGCCTGGTCCAGGCCCCCATCATCTCTCACAGGGACATCTCTTCAGTTTGTCCTCAGTACAGCTTCCAGAGTGAGCCTTTCAAGACTATGTCAGATCTTTCACTCCTCTGCTCACAACCCTCTAGTGGCTTCTCATCTCCCTCAGTGAAAAGCCAAAGTTCTTACTATGGCCTAAAACACCCTACTGATTGCTCTGCCTGAGCCCACTGCCTCACTTCCCTGACTCCATCATCTACCACGTCCCCTCGTGCTCACTAGCTCCAGCCACATTGCCTCCTTGCTATTTCTGGAATCTGCCAGGCATCATCGTGGCACTGGATGTTTGCTCTGCCAGGAATGCTTTTCCTCCAAGTTTCTACCAGGCTCATTCCCTCTCATAAGTGAGACCATCCCTGGTCACCTTTTCCAAGACTGCAGCTGTCTCCCCGTCCCTCCATTTATTTTTCTCCTTAGCACTTACCATTATTCAACATACCATTTATTTTTCCTATCCATCTTGTTTATTATCTTCTGTTTCCTCTACAAAAATGAAAGCTCTATGAGGAAAGAGAGTTTTGACTGTTTTGGTCACGGCTGTTTCCCTGTGTTTGGAACAGTTCCTGGCACATAATGAACACTCAACAAGTATTTGTTGAAACACACAGAGAATGGATGAATGGTATTGTTCTTCTTACTGATAACTCTCACTTTATTTCCCAAATTTATCCATGGAAAGAGAAGGTGAGGTTTTTTAATTTTGCTGCACTTACTTTAGATAATTTCTTAATTTTTAAAATGCATTTTAGTAAGATTTGGAGGGAAAGGGTATTTAGAAATTTAAAAAATATTTTTCTTTAATTTCTCTCTCAAATATTTATTTTCTTGCACCCTATGAATTTTATACTTCTAAATATTTCTGTTATGATCCTAGCAAGAAGGGTTTGTGTCATTATAATAACAATTCAGGAATTCTGGGTTCTTGTGTGAAAAATAAATGTAAACTGGGGCAAAGAGTCACCAATTTAGACCAAATAGTGAAAACATCATTCACTATTTTGGCAAATGTGAACTACAAACTATTTTAAAGGAACAGTGTTTTCTAACTTTCCATGTGGAGCTTCTTTATGGTTTAAAGATAGACTTTAATCCAGCATAATTCAAGATTAGCATAGTATGAAATAATGAGGTTAGTTGTTATACTTCTGACTTATTTTCTACACAGTGGGATATGGGACCTATGGGACCCCAAGGACCAATGGGCATCCCCGGAATTGGGAGTCAAGGGGAAAAGGTAATCGACACTTTCTCTCTTTCC